GCCGAGAGTAAGGAAAATTATTAATTAGAGCCTGGGAGTGGAAAGGTTAAACACTAAATAATGAAAGAGCAGAAAAACACAACCATCAGTATACACCCAATTGCAATAAGGTTGTCATAGAAAAAAGCAAAAAGCCAAATAGGAATTATTTAGCATTTAATTATAATTGCTTGCAACATTCACAACACTCACGCTTCAGTTTCTTGGTGTCATTCTAATCGCGGAATTACAGAATTATGTCTTGTTATTGTGAATGACATCTTAAATAATTGTTAAATTGTTAAAGTACGCAAATGTAAATCACATGGCTAGATAATTCCTATTTGGCTTTTTGCTTTTTGCTTTTTGCTTTTTTCTATGACAACCTTATTGCAATTTGGTATATGTAAATACATGTATCTTATAAGACGTTTTGTTGTGTAGTATCGCTGAGTATTTTCACGAGTTGTGCAAATAACGGGTAAAACTGCTCAGCAATACGACACACCAAAACGTCTAATAAGTTTATTATTCAACATACCAAATTGTTATTTCAGTGCGCGCGAATTTCGCGGATATTTTTTAAGGGGAGTGCGTGACAGAAGTATGCAAAGCGGAACGGAATTGATGTGTTATGTTTCTATTTTCTCTAAATGATGAAACTCCATTGTCGTCTTCCTGCTTTTCTTCGCTCGACTTATCTAATAAACTTGGATCGATATTCGCCAGCCATTCCGACTCTTCGTCGTCCGGAAACTAATTTAAACCGTCCGCCATTTTTTTTTTTTCGGAACTTCAATCGAATTCGCTTGCTCGATGCGAGAAAACCCATCTAAGGGGTTCTCTGGAGTACAAATACCGCAAGATATTTGTACTCGGCTTGGGCGTTATTTGTACTCTACGGCGTGTAGCAAGCTCATAAAGGTAATGTTTATCTCAACAGCCTTCAAGCAGGATTATATGTCATCTTCTTGCTGTGCTTGTCATATTCTCTGCTGTATGGTTCAACCAAACCAGACCCCACTCAGTACAGGGGCGGGGCAGATTTCCTTCGTGGGCTTTGTGAGGTGGTCACCCTCTCTATGGTATTGTTTTATATCTACGAAGAAGTCAATCAAATGAGATTGTAAGTAAAAGGACTTACTGACAATTAAACTACTACAGAAACGTAGCATCAGAATACCCCTCGATAATTTTCACGAAGAAGAAGATACAATGCCTGCGCTACTGTGAGCGAACGTTATACAAACTGTTAAACGCATCGTAGTTCACTTGTTTGTTTGTGTTTTCTTTTTGTCTAAGTTTTCCGTAGAACATCATTGGAAGTTTACCCTTCACTGTTACTTATTTTGCTTCGTATCTACATGTTTCGAAAATCATCCTTTCACAAATATAGTCTACCCTTATTGAATACAAATTATATCTTGCTAAGAAGTATGAGGCACAAGAAGTCGAACTGAACCCTTTTAAAATATTTTTGCAGTGAGAGAAATTCATATTTCACTGAGTGGATGACCTTGTTTGACTGGTTAGGCCTGTTGTTGATCCTGTGTATCATACCCTTGCGGTACACTAAAAGCAAAGCACAGTGGCTAGTGGCATCGTTGGCTTTCCTGTTCAATTTCCTGAGGTTATTTAAGTTCTCTTGTGTGACGAGGTAATTAGTTCACTATTCAAACTCATTGGGCTGTTTATTCGACAAAAAAAATAGCCGTTTTTTCACAAAGCCGTGAAGTACCATCCGTTTGGCTAAATCCTTTATTTGTTCACTTATTTTTGTGACTAGCAGTGCCAAGAGGGCCGAAAGCCAGCAGTGGAAGGAAATTTATTTAAATTAAATCCACCCTCTTACAAGAAAGTCCAAGCCCACTTCTTGCGTAAAACCGCGGTTTGGGTGAGACATTGTGCAAATAACTGACCCAATAACTCTAGCTCAAACGGACAATTGTAACAGTTAACGACAGACTTTTTTTTCTGTGGAGTTCAGAGTTATATTTTATGTTTCCAGTTTGCATTACGGCATGCATTCGATCTTACTCCGAACCATCTACTGTGAGTGGCTTACGAAAATCTAATTTAGGGCCGGTTATTACTCGAGGTGTAACTCACTCCGCGGTCTCACGCAAGCAGTGGGCCTCAGGGATTCTCTGTAAGAGGATTGATCGAATTAAATACATTTCCTTCCACTATTAGCTTTCGGCCCTCTTTACACTATTCACAAAAATAAATGTTCAGATTAAAGGGTCGCTGAATTGAAGATGGCTTAGAACGCAGTTTTGTTAAAGAACGTCTAAACTTTGGTTAAATGATCGGCCCTAATTGAACATTCGACGTGAAGAACTCTTGTTTAGAAATTCCTAGTCAAGTGGTTTTAGCTTTTTTCCATGAACGGAGACCAGTAAATTAGAATTTGATGTAACTCTAGTCGAAGTACCATAAGGATAGGACGAGGAGTAATCG